AATCAATAAAAATGACTATAGTATGACAGCAGTATTGTGTAACTAGACTTAAGGAGTAATATTGTATGTAGAAAAATTAATAGGTACAGTGGTTAAAAAATTGTCGAGTGTCTATACAGAAAAATTAATACAAATTAACGATTTCTTAACCTTGTTTTCACTTACTTTCAAATCAGCCAAGTTCACCGATCGGTTCACGGACTGTAGTCTCCAAAGTTTAATTCTTATGCAAAAACTAATAACTTCAACCGTAGCTTATACTATCTGAATGTTTTTAAGTGTAATGAGAAATAAATGAAAATTTGACTTTACATTACACCTACTAAGTAATTTGAAATTAATGGTTGCTAATAAAATATATACTTGAACTTAGTTAACACTAATCAATTGAATACATGAATTTATTTAATTACAGTTACCAAGACATGGTCGGCATGTAGAATTTTTTTAATTTTGGAAAACTATTTTTAAAAAAAATGTATAACAAATATGTTTTATGTATGTTTCAACTTTTTATTCATTTATTTATTTATCACATACAACTTTAAAGCTTTATAATGAATGAACTATATCAGATAATGACTGTGGTATAGTTATGCATGTACAATTGATACATTCATTATACTAAACAGAAAAGAAGCTTGTATTCTGATATCATTTTTAATAATTGCCCGATATATAACTCATTGAGTTATTAACTCTTCCCAAAAAGTCTAAGACTTTCATGTTATTTTTTTTGCAAATTTTTCTCACAATTTCACCAAGTATTTGTTCATTTATCATGTCTAAAACAAAAACAAATTTATCATATTTAAAAATTATTAGAATATCAAGAGCAGTTGCACAGTTGTCCAGAAAATTAAAAAAACAGACAAATTAACACAAAAATAACGCCCTCTTTACTTTGGGCTCTGTCACTCACTTTTTTTTTCTTAGTTAATTTAAATTTCACAAGTCAAATGATATTCTACAAAGCTTATTTTTTTTTAAATAACTAGACAATATTTTTTCAAGCCAAAATATACAACATTTGTTATAACTACAACAAATGTTATTAACCTCGGTATATTTTCGAAATTTTATTCTCGGAGAAATACTCTAAGATGGTTTTCTTGTTACATTCTCCCAAAGCATAAAACACATGTGCCAAAGAAAGACTTTGTCCATAATCACCGCTGAAATGAGTTAAAGTGAGCTCGTATAATTTTCGTACAGCCTGAAAAATTTTGAAACGTGTCTTTAAATACATCTTGGGTAGTAGTTAATATTTTAATAACCATTTTAATCTAACCAGTAACCTATATTGTTTATATAAAAAATATACATAAACAGCAGAAAGTCGTTCTTACAATTTTTTACATGAAAATGTATGTAATAATACAATTTTTTTTGTTAAAAATAAAATAATTCTGAATTTAAAATTTCAAAATGATATTCATAGGTCTTATCATTCGTTATCTAGGTCTTAGAAACTGATTAAAAATTCTAAATCCATTTCAACCCTATCATTCAACCCGGAAAGTCACTCTTTTAATAAATTATTCATATAGTGTAGAAATAGCTCTCAAATAATTACCAGCTTGAATAATTTTTAAAATTTTACTACAATGAAGATGTTATTAAGATACAAAATTATTGGAATAAATTTCAAACATGAACATTTGAGTAAAAAATGATTAGAAAACATTAGTTTTAGAACTAAAAAATAAAAAATAATTATTATTTATATAATTTAAAAAAAAGTAAGGTAAATATTATATACTTACCATATTTTCTTTTATGATTCTTTCCTCTTTTTCTTCTATATTCTCGTCCGCATCACATTGAATTTTTATGCAATACATTAAAAAACAAAAAAAAGTTATTATGTATTTTACATCCATTATTTCTTATTTTGATAAATTGTTTTAATGCTTATTTATATTGACTATAACTAAAACAATGTTTTCAATGCTGTACCAGCGGCTGGATTTATAGTGAATTTTCCTAGACTGTCCTACAAATAAAAAACATATTTATTTTATTTTGTACAGCTTTATTTGACCTATTGTTTTGTTTACAGAATAAATTTGTCGTTTTGTAAACATATTAATAATATAACCTATGTAAATTTGTGACGTAAGCTAATAACCTTTGTAGTTGATGCTGAACCAATAAAAAACCAATAATAATAATAATATAAATCATAAAAAAAATCGGGACATACAAATAAATTAGACTGTTTTTTATGCCTAATAATCTTTTAATGGAATAAATGTTTTTTCAACGATTGTCTGTAAACACTTGAGTATTTTTTTCAAAATTCGATTTAATAGAGTAGAATCTCTTTTTCTTTTTTTTTCTTTTTTGGACGTTAAAAACTACAAAAGTATGTATTTGTTAGATATTGACTAGTCTATCTTTTTAGATGTCCAGTTCTCTGAAGAACGACTATCCGGCTTTTGTATCATCTTTTCAATGCATTTTTCTTATTTAAAATTATTAATATTATAATTATAATTTAATTTTTTAGTATTAATTGATCCCAAGACACGTGGCCGTCGTGTTTTTTTTTTAAAGACACGCAGATTGAAAATGTTAGTTTTATTGCAGTTTTATGTCTAGACAGCACAGACCGCCTTCACAAATATATACATATATGTATACAAATAATTATTTTACTTGAAGTTGTGTTTTTTTCTTATTAAATTATTAATTTTGGAAACAATTTATCTTTGGCCAAGAAGAAGTTTCAACCATCATCGATAAAAAGTTTACCCCTATCGGGTTAATAAAAATAATTTTGTACATTTTGACATGAATTTAAAATTCTATACAATATTTCCATAATGCGTTAAACTTATTCGCATTATTTTGGGGGAAAAACCCTTATTGGTTTATTATACTCTTCTCTCTCGACCAATAAACCGGTTTAACCTAAAATGTCAATAAACGTTATTTTGTAAAATAAACATATTTTCAATATTGTTTTAACACATTCAATTTTCCAAATACCTTCAAAACGAAAAATTGTTTTTAATTTCCATTGCAGTTTTACTTAAAACAAGAGTTTATAAATTGTTATGGCATATGTTGATTGGCAATATTGTGGAATCGCTCAGCCACTCAATTTAAAACATTTTCACATTTTTAGGCTGTTTTTCTAAAGAGAAAGGGTAAACTGATTCAAAAGGGTAAACATGGATTAAGCTTAAGTAGCTTAGGACGCTGTAAAAAATCGAGCCCTAAATTTTAAGCCTTTTCAAAAGGGGAGAATTTCAAAGTTTGCAAAAAAAGTCAGCCTATGCTCATTCTTGTGGTCGTAGTATTAAAAAATTATTATAACACGAAGGTGATAAAATATACAATTTTAAATAAACTCTTTTATTTAAAGCTATGAGTGGTAACAATTAGTGCCTATGTTATTATAATGCACTTATGTTTAATACACGTGTACTTAATAAATTCTAAATTTTATTTGAAATAAAAAATTGGCCATATTTTAGTGTATATTAAAATGTCGTCAATGATTAATATTATGTTTACAAAACGACTAAAAAAGTATATTCTATAAAAACACTTGCCAAACCGGGATCGACATGTAGACTTTCTTGATTTTTAATTTTTGGAGAATTATTCAAAAAATGTAAATATATCTTTAAGTAAGATTAAACCAAATTGTGTCTATTAGTGGATATTGATTTATCAAGTAAATGAATTTAACTGGTTTGAATTTAGGAGGTATTGAAGTCGTTCCGAATGTTATACAAGTTTAAAGCACTTCTACATATGCAAAGGTATTAAAGCTAAAACGACTATCTATTTTGTTTTTTTAACATTCGCAACACGCTCGTAAAGTATATTATAAATATATAAATATATATGTATATATATATAAATTTCGGTATACATACAGTATTACAGTGATGGAAGTTTAATATATAAATGCAATTCATTCATTTTCTTTTTAGACTTATAAGTTATACTGTTTAGCACAGCGAAAATACTTAACCTATAGCGCAAAAACCTCTCACAATCGTCGTTGGTGTATTTATTTCCTTTTGAAAAAAAAATAAGTCTTTGATATGCAATGCAATTACAACGACACTACAAGAATTTATATAAATATATAATATAATAAGCGTATAAAATGAGAAAAAAGTGTTTAAAGGACTGTTATTTTTTACGAGGAAACTTGTCTTTATTGTATATTGGTTTTATTTTAGATGGAATGGCTAATTTATTTTCAAAACACTTTTTCATAAAAGAAAACCTACATCAAAATGTAAAAACCTTTGATAATGAAAAAAAAACCAGGAATTATCTATTTATAAATGTTCATTTCAATTGATACATATTAATTCCGAGAAAAGAATATTAAGTGAGCATTTTTGCAACTTGTATTTGCAATGTATTTTTTTCAAATATTTTTGTTTTAAAATTAAAATTGAAACGACATAAAATATATTAAATTTTAATATAATATAACGTATCAATTTTAGTAAAACAATTTTAGCTTCTAAATTCTAGCAATATTATGTTTTATGTAATTGAACGTTTTAGTGGAATTATAAAACATCAGCAACAAAAATATTTCGCTTAATAACTATTTAACAATTATTGCTTTTAAGTAGTTTAATTAAAGTAAGTCTCGATTATTAAATTTTACGATTTTCTGCAAAGTTTAATATTAGTAGCCATAAAAACCCCACTTTTGCTGCGATTTTAAACTTTTCAGTTTTCACATAAAACTCTTGAATGATGCGAGTTGAACGATTTCCTTGATAATTAAAATTAACATACTCATAGCATTTTTATGTTAAAAAACATTTGTATTTTTTTATCGTACACACGGCGGCTTTATGTTATTGCCGGTACTCCAAATCACTTCTTAACACTATCCGTTCTAGACATAAATCTTGATTTCGGATACTATATGTTAATCATTTTCATACTATACTTGGCGTGTGTTGAGCTCCAACGGAATATACTGACTATGGTCTCAAATTTTGTGCTTACAGATCGGTTGTTGTGGAGCAGACGGGCCAAACGACTATCTTACCCTGAGAAAAGCGTTGCCGACCGAATGCAGGGACACGGTCACCGGAAACGCTTTCTTCTACGGATGTGCTGAAGAGATGACTTGGTTCCTGGAAGATAAATCTAGGTGGATAACCAACATGGCCATGTCGATTGCAGCTTTGGAGGTAATATTGTACACATAATAACCGTGACGCTACAGTGAATCTGGTTTAATGTGGAAAGGTTCAGATTGATTTTTTTTTACCCCTTAAAAAAATCCACGTTGGTAAAATCTTCTTCTTTTGGAGTTTTCAAAAACTTTCACGCTTTTCTGTCCCTGGCCTTCCTCTTCAATTCATCTATCTATTCGTTTCTGATTTTCTTTTGCATCCTTCTGCACTGCAGTTGTAGAAAGGTAAGATTATATTGCAATGCGCATCGAAAGAGTACAACTCGGCCATAAACAGAGCAAAGGAACAAACAAGAAAACCACATGACCCAACTAATGAAGCCGTACACTATACAATAATATTTGATAGCAACAAAATATAGTCTTGGAAATGCGCTCTCCCGTCCAATATCGGATAGGCCGTTTTCTTGCCGGACTTCGCGTTGAATATAATAGCGTACTACGGCAAGGATGTGGACCTTTCTCATTAAGGCGACCTTCTAAGACCTTTTGCGAAAGACATTTTGCTGTGCGCGACCTTTTTACAAAAGACATCAAGAGACCTTTTGTTCGCCGTCCGCAACAGACGCCGCCAAAACAGATTGATCTTTTGTGCACAACTCTCAATGTATGTTAGCTGTTGTGAGCACATCAAATACGGTTTGACGTGTTAGCACATTTTCAACCCTTAACTTGGCAAAGGCTAGTATTTTAAGCAATCACAAATAATTATACTTTATAGAATGGTCGTAGAAAGTTATATGTATAAAATATACTATGTATTTTTAAAGACACGATTCCAGGCTGAGCTAAGCAGGTGGATTTCCCATATTATTATAACGCTTATTCTACAAAGAAGTGATCAACGCATGGATAGTAACGTGTATGTGACCTGTTTAAAAATACATCATAATTTCGAAAAAATATATTTTGGAATTGAAACAGTCGATTTTTTTTTTTGCTCCAATGTTGTTTACCTTACTATAGATGGCCAACAGCTAAGAAAATATTATTGAATTTACAACAAAGTACACACAAATTTACAGCACAGGATAACACAAATAAGAGACAAATAATTAGCGTTTTGGAAGATTTATGGACGTGCAAGCATTATTCTTTAAGCGATCCTGCGCATCCAAACGACCTCGACCTGAAATTAACCGGCCACGACCGACTCCAGGCAACGACCGTTCTAAGTGTGCATAAATACTACTGTACTTAAATCGCCCTCATTAAATTCTGGGTCTGCGGTCCGCCCACTGTTATTGGCTATGGTCGCATGGAGATGTATATTCAGAGTGCTACCAATAGATATATACATAATAATAATAAAAAAAACGCGTCCGTAAAAAAAAATACTACCGGGGACTTTGGAGAGAGGGGGCAGGGCGGGGGCAAACGAAAGGGGATGTATTTATTTATTTAGACGAATTTTTTCTTATTACTCGTCTCGCGAGCGCACGTCGACCCGGCAAACTTAATAATAATTTATAAACTTAGACATGTATATAATATTATAGGCATAAATGTATTGGAAAAAGTAATAGAGTAGTTTTGTATATAGAGAGAGAGAGGGACGAGACTTGCAATAATTCATCACGACAACTGTGTATGGTTTTTTTTTCACCCCCGACCATATCCCTTTGGCCTTTACCGCTCCACCCCTCCTTTACCCCTCCTTACTTACTTACCCCATCGACCACACTCGGCAACAGCGTATCGAATCCTTACGACTGCACCGGCGATAACCGTGGGTCTCCTTTTTGTACGATTTATGTTTATAAAGTCGAAAAGGAAATTAATGTTATTATACACGGAGAACCGGCAAAGCGGCAGCTGGCAAATAAATTTCCTACTGCGAAGCAGCACAACGCCGTTCTGCGATAATATTATTGAGATATTTTTACAAAAATAAAAAACCTTCTACTTATTTTTATACCTTTTCGGATTTTGGTAGTGCTCGAATGAAGAAATACCTTCTGCTTGCTTGTTCCGATCAAAAGTGAAAAACTGTTTTAAAAAAAAAACGCTTAAGTACGGTTTCTAGAGCTACAATATAACAGCTATCATGGCATCAATATTGTCAATGTCGACAGCAATTATTAATTATTATTGTACATGACAATTAAATATAAAACATTTTTTTTTTTTTTTGAAAATATGTATTTTTGGTCTAAAATAAGCCCGAAGAGAAGACTCGTAGAAAAAACCATATAAATTAAAATCAACACCTTTAAGCTTATACAAATTAATCGGAAAATTAATTAACGTGGTCGAAATTTATTAAAACCCATTTTTTCTTAAATATTGCCTATAGAAAACTCCTTAAAAACAGTCCCCTTGATTATTATTCTTTAAAAAGTAGTGTGGCCGAATTTGTTTTCAACAAAAATTGGAAACCGCAAATTTTTCTATTACAGTAATTAGTGGGATCATCGAAAATAAAATAACACTTTTTATTTGACAATTTTAGATTTGATGTCTTCCGCGTGTATACATTTTTTATTTGTAATAGAAATTAGCCCACATTTGGTTTTTTTATTGGATTATCAAGACGTTTTGCTAGAATTCCAATAAAAATATTTTTTTTTTAATTGTATTTACTTCTGTAAGCCATCTATTTTATATAATGTCTAATTTCATTTACTAATAGTATGCGCAAGTGTAAGTAATACCGTTAAATGTATTTTTTTGTATAAAATACACTGTATATACTCAATGGTAAAGCAATACTATAATATAATAGTAGTATAGTGTGTGATCTATATACTATATAAACGATTTATTATTTCGTTTCGTGTTGCTATATAGTTTCTTTACCATCATTATGATTTATAGAAGCTACACACTTTAGTAGAACTTCATATGTGCACTTCTTATATTAATTACATCACAGTGTATTAATAAGTAAATTATTTGAAGTTCGTTTTAAGTATCGTTTTTTCTTTAAATCAAACTGAATAGCTTTTCATTCTCAACTGAAAATATGTTCTAGTTGTAAAATTAAATAAACATGATTTAATGGCATCCAATTCAATTTCGGGTTTCATTATCATTACAAATTCCTAAAATTGTATAAAAAAAATTAAAAAAACATTTTACATCAAAAGGTACAAAAGTTAAATAATATGTCAATTTCCTCTCAAATGCTAATTTTTAAATTTAAATAATGTTTCGCTTACGTTGTCTTAGTCACGTCAATTTAAAGTAATATTTCTTTGACAAAAAATCACATAATAATTTTAATGTGATTATATCTTTTTTTTTCTTAATGCAATTTACATTCAGCTAAAGCATATAATTTGATTTATTTGATTTCACGCTTGATGCGCTTTCGAAAGTCTTGAGAATTTCATAAGGAATTATCAAAGGTGAGAAAATAAAATGCACCTTTGTAACAGTCTGTTGCGTTTCACAGATAAGTTCACAAAAAAAAAAAATCAGGGTTCGACTTATTCTTATTTTCTTTATTGCGGTGTTGCAAATTATTTACCGTCGAATTTAAGGTAATAATTTAAACAAAATTTAAATAACATAAAGATCTGGCAAATAAAATCCACCGTTGGATCTAATTAAACGTTCAAAACAAAAAATTAAAAAAAAAAACTATTTTACCAAATAATTTTACTGTTCTGAACTTGTTGAAGTTTATACATGAAATTATATCATATTGACAACATTATGACTTATTATTGACAGTATTTTGCTTTTTACAGATGCTGATAACCGCCTTGAGCTTAATTTTGATTAAGGCGTTGCAAAAAGAAGAAAAGTTCAACTACCAGCAATAAGAAAATATTATCGAAATTGGTTAATATTATACATAATCTTCTTATTACTATATTTTTTGCACATAGAATAGACTAAGCTATATTAAAACATAACGTAAAATGTATTTTTAATTTTTTTTTTTTCATACAAATGTCATATTATTCAAATTGCACTCACTGTATGTATATAAATATAGTTTATATAGTTCTAACGTTATTTGTAAGAATATAATTAAAAGGCACTACGTACCTGTTCTAGACATTTTACAGAAAAGACATTTTGTATAATTTTTTCTAATATAAATACAAAAAATATTGTAAGGCAATTTAATAGTAAAAATATACTTAGTTTAAAATAATTTACTGCACAACAAAAAAAATTAAATAAATTCTACTAAAATAATAGTGAATTTTGTTTATTTGAATATTTTTTACCTAAGCCTTAGGTTGTCTAGTGGACATTAACCGTGCCCACCTACTCTGTATACATACACATATTATTTAGACAAACCAATAAAACATCAACAACCGGTCCTGTTACGATTTATTTATGTCGGAAAAAATAAAAAGTTATCAATTTTGTATTGCTGTTTTCAATTATTATGCTCGTACATACACAAAACAAGTCAAACAAGCAACTGAAACTAAACTTTCCGCGAACACACAACAGCCAATAAGGTTAACAAAAGAGCAATGCTCATTTCCGGTTCAGCAACTTTTTTTTCCGGTTTATTTCTTCGGTTTAGCCTTCGGTCGCAAGTTTACCATTTTTATTTTGTTATTTCTGGGATCTGTTTTTAAATTCACCGGAACAACAAAATATAATATTATTATAAGAATCGAACAACCCTTAACTAAGCTAACCACAATATTTTCTTAACGCAGTGTAACACTCCCCGAACCGTACTCGACTCTTATATATATTATCTAATCCTCAAGAAGGACGACTAATAAGGTCCTACTCGTTCTCGGTAATATGTAAATATATTTTGCTTGGATTTGCATGAAAAAACATTTTCAGATGTTTGATCGAATACGTTTTACAGCACATCAATAACATACTTTTCTTGGACTACCTATACATATATTTATTTTGTATTTTTTTTTTTTTTTGGTTAAATCATTGTCAGTTTTAAAAATAGAATATTTTCCTAATCAATCATGGAACGTTTCTATTGTCAAGGGAACTAAAAATAGAGATAAAATCAATTGATAGATTGTTGAGATTTAAAAATATCTCTATTGCTTTTACACAAATATATATATATATATATATATATATATATCTTAATATTATGTTAATATTGGATTATATGATAAATAAAATTGCAAACAAATTGTATTGCATATTACATGTTTTGTAAACAAAAATAGCATGATAATATTAATAGTGTTTCCAATGTTTAATTATTATTGTTGAATATACTTACAAACAACGGTAAAAAAACAACAACACTGATTATTTTTATTTTTATATATGAGTAAATTTCCAGTCACTATTTCACATTTCATAAACTATTATGTGTGCACTTTGGAATAGGATAACTCCACGTTTCTTACAGCCGTAGAAGACGTTAGTAAGTATAATCTTACTTACTTGTTATCACAATAACATAATAGCATGTAGGTATGTTAATAACGACGTTAAGTCAATTTTTTGATCATTTCATTGATTTTTTTAAATAATATACTTTTTTTTTTGTTTTAAATATGTATTAACTGCAGCCAGTATGTTTAAAAGCAAAAAGCACGAATGCGCTCTTAATTGAATTCGGTATAACCCATTATAATTGCATTTTCACATAACGACTGGGCTTTTTTTTTATTATTATTATTATTCGGTTAACGTCCATAATATGTCAAAACCACATTCCAGTCTGTACGCTAATTTGTTCCTAAATCTTTTTTTTTTCCAAAAAAAAAATAACCACGGTCATTTAGTCAGGAATTACAAAAAAATATCAAGTATTTTTTTTAATATTAAAAACGATTTGTATATTTGATTTGCATAATACATTACACAGACCACTGTACTGACCTGTTCCAATTTAACAGTTCAGTCAACGCAAACGATTGCGTTTTAATCAAAATTTGGTTGAGTCATCCATGCACACAGAAAGCATTATTCCAATAGCCCAACTGAGTTGTTTTGGAATAATTCTGCTAGCATCAAATATTTTTCATGTCATTATTTTAGGCGAAAAAATAATTACAGTTTCAAATAACTCAAATTGACAGAATAATTCGACCAATTCGTCATTGTTGACAGTAACTTAAACTTTTTCCTAGCCCCCCTTGTTGAGCCACGCCGAGTTATTGTAAAACTTAAATCACATGTAAATGACATCTCACTACATACTCATTTTATGATTTTTTTTTTTTGAAATACTAAATCGCTACAAACTTCATCACATTTTTAAGTTGAGAAAAATTTACTAAAAATGTTGACGGGTCGATAACCAGTTTTGGACAACTATTTTTGAAGTTATTGAAGAGTTTCAATGCGTGTATAGAAGCTGTTTAAAAAACTGGTTAGTTCATTATTCTCAATTTAAAAAGTTTATGAAATGTATGCGCTACCGTTTAAGTTTCAAAAGTTGCTCTTAAAAAAACTTAGTTGGTATGAGGGTAGAGACACACTAATGTGTGGAAAATTGAGATCATAATATAAATAAAAAAATCAGTTATTAATTAAACCCAATGAAATATAGAGTGGTTCACGATAAAACGTTCACCTTACCATGTAAAATAGTAATGTTATTATACATTAGCGAATTTCCTTGCCGTTTTCGTTTGAAATCCACCACGTTGTGTTTGCAAATGATATTTTTACTGTCGTCTACCTCGTTAATCCTGGATAACACTTGGGCTGAAAACAAGAGGTTTAAAAAATATAAATATATACATATTTATTGAACGTGCTTCCAAACAACCTATGTGTATAATAATTATCTACAAATCCGAGTTAGGTACACAACAACCGGATCACACACGTGTGGTAGGTGTAAAGGTACGGTAAAGTGTACTTAGGCTTTAAACACGTTTCACGGGTACTCGGTGTACAAATTATACATATTATTTTGTAAGCTATCCAAGATTATATGGTATAGTAGGTACGATAAACTTGCTCGAACCGTGGCCGAGCAAAAGAGAGAAATCGTGGCAGCCGCGTGACCGAAACAGATTGACGACCGAATTCTCTCTTGCTGTTAATCCGGCAACAGGGATGATTTACACGAGGCTCGAAATGAAAACTACCCCCACCCCTACCCCCACCCCGTGTCCACTTGCCCACACACACGCGCTGTAAGGCTGCTGCCAGGGGTGAAAAATCACGTTTTGATCCCGGACCACAGGGATTCGAGACCGCACGCAGACGTCTTATCCCCCCTCATCCCGGTTCTCCCCGGGGAACCCCGAGCCGCGGCAGCTTAATGACCTCGGAATTAGTGTCGTTTCGGATAAAAATACCCGCGAAAGCCCGTTATTAATTACGTCATCAAAACCCACTTGAAACGGTACCGCGCAGAGTCAACGGTGTTAGATGAAGATATCGTGAAAATATAAGACCGAAAACACAAACAAAGGAGGGATGAGTACACACACGACCACGTTTAAACACAAAAGATAATATTATATTATATTATCTGTTAAACACGCCTTGACGACTTTCGGTAATATCATAATATAAGTATAAAATAATATTAGAACTGTCCTTGCAAAGGATTCGAACGTCTCCTGGCAACTTGCAACACACACACACACATCTATAACCAAATATTATTATATGCATGTGCCAGTTATTTTATATACGCAACTTGTAATTATTGATTGAAGGTATTTAATAATTATTTATTAAAGACTTAATATCGAGTCATTATTTTTTTTTTTAAATAACCTGTCGAGGTGTGTTGGCGTTAAGTCGTGGGTGTATACGCTTTGGGAATATAGATTACTTAATACATGTAATTTGTTAATGAATATATTATGTAAACCGATTTAAATGGAAAGTATATCTTCTATTGTCTTTTTTTTTAATTTCAATAATTGGAAAGTAACGAAAATAGTGCACGCAAACTAGTAATGGCGTCTGGCACGACAACTTTTTATTAAAAAACATATTGATATTGCAAATGTATTCTTTATAGTGCGTTAGCTGTAATACTAACCGTAAAGTATATACAAATATTTATTAAATAAAAATATTGATCAGATTGAAAAAGTACCTACTAATGTTGTTGAGGAAAAGTAATGTGAAAAAATTTACACTCATGTAGCTAACTAAAAATGCCCTTGACAAATAATATCCTTAGTTTAATGGGTACTTAAATTTTTTCTGAATTTGAACATTTAATATAGTTAATCACTAATTTGGTTCTTACGCTTTAAATAATAAACTAGAGTAAAACCACTTTACTCGACGACAAATACTTTAGTTGTGAATAAATGAATAGGTAAACAACAGCGCCATTTTGACGATAAATTTGTCAATATGACTAGCAAAAGGCTAATAATACAGACCTCTACTAATTATTAGAGACCTTTGCACTATCATAGTATTTTATTAAGCGCATTGTAAAGGCAATATTTCAAAAAAACTTCAACACATTAAGCTAAAATTTGTAGCTTCAGATTACTTAGACTAGATACTTTTATAACGCATACAAGCCCTTTTTTTGTACAAATTTTATCACTTCTAACGGTACGTTTCTAAGTTTACTCCCATGTAAGTGTTAAAAAACATTAAAAACCGCTAAATACTATTTAGTAGTGATGGGAATCCGAAAATGCGGATTTTTCAAAAAAACGCTATTTTAGCCACTTGAAAATCTTATAAATATTAAATACTATTACAATATAAAGATAAGTGTATCTAAGTAAAATTTGTTGATAAACATTTTTTTTAAAAAACTCTTAACTTTATCAACAAATCCGAAATCCAAAAGCAGTTTATCTTTTTGGTGTTTTGTTTATTTTTACATATTTATCAAAAACATTTTACTTGGGTACACAGCTTTATATTGTAAAATTATTCAACACTTATATAATTTTTAAATAGCATATATAGCGTTTTTTTTTTTGTGAAAATCCGGATTTTCGGATTCCCATCACTGCTATTTAGTATGTGCATTATATACATCATACTATTATCATTTATATTATACAGCTGACTTTGCCGCCAAAAATAAAATATTATACAACAACATAGCTATTATTACGGTCGGTTGCGTTCTTACCGGAGACGGCACAAGAGTTATCAAATCACGGATGACCAAGACATAAAGTGGAGTTTTCCAATACATTTACCATGGGACGTCTGACCCCTCAGGACTGAATAAAACATTTCTGGTCAAGATCGAGATTTATAGCCGGATACCTATTGTAAAGCCCGCCGCCCCTGTTCATCTATATAGATCCATACATTTCCATAAACATATTTTATATTATGCGAGTTTAATTTTTTGCAAATAACTTTTCCATACTGTAAAGCCGCGTGAGTTGATGTGCCTACACAATTTTGTAATATGTCTCTACGCATTACATTGTTATCGAGTTTAATAAAAAAAAAAAATGCCCAACTTTGCGCTTTGGCAACTTTTAATCGCACTACTTAAAAGTTTCGCGTGCACTCGGTGTAGTAGACGGCGAAAGGCTTAACTTGTCAATATTGAACATAAACAGTGTTTAATATTACGTTAAATCCCGTACACGTGCACGTATCGTGGGTTCGTAAGGTGTTATCAATTATTTTTTTTTACACGGTTAACAATTATTGCAAAGGTCGTCAACCCGCGTTTAAGACAATACACTCGTCCGAAAGCATTAAATTTCTGTCTGTGTACGTACAATATCATTTTTGTATGATCACAATGTAAAATATACATAATATGGACCTTTGCATTTGTATTGTGAATTTCACACAATCGTTGCTTCTTTTTTGTCTTACCGTACAATGTATACCCAATACAATACTCCGACAGTCTTTGCAAACAATATGTACACCTTCTACCGCTTCTAGAACTATTGGGAAATCGGTATTTTACGGGTTCCTAAGTTTAGGGACACGCAAATAAG